GGGGGGTCCCAGGCAGGGAAGCTGAGCCACTGGGCGAGTTCCCACTGAGCATCACCAAAGAAAAGGGGGCTCCCAGCACCAAAAAGGTGTCCTAAGACAGCTCAGGTGCATAACATCATCCTTTAAGCAGGGAAACGGTCCCTATTTGCCAAAAATGACCATTACGAGCACCTTCTTGGTGGGGGGCAGAAAACAGTCATCCACAGGGGAGCTCTGCCAGCCCCCAGGAATCAGCACGAGTGCCCCCACCCCGGCCACAGGCACCTCCCAGGTAGGCGACTCTTCCCCCCATCCCCAGGAGCCGGCCACGCTGTGACTGGTACAGCCAGCCCTAAACTAGTTAGGCAGGACAGGTCCCTGGGGAGGCACCAAGAAATCCATGAGAATTAACTGAAGGGGAGAGAATTCAATTAGGGAAGGGGACAGGCAGCTGCTAATCCGAGCCAGCCACGAGAAGGGAGCTGCCCCGGGCCTGCCCGGCCTCATTAGTGGGGCAGGCATCTCCGTAACCCCTTGAACCCCTCTGTTTGCACAGACGTTGTTTGCAGGTTGCGAGGAGCCGGGCTGGCAGGCGGCACAAGCGCCCAACAGCCCCAGCAGAGCCCAGCCCCTCCATGGCAGCTCCGTTATCCCGAGCAAGAAAAGTTGGGGTCCCTCTTGGTACAGCAAGCCCCTGCCTTGGCAAAATCATCCATCATCATCATCATCATCATCAGACAAGGCTGTGCTACAGTGCCCCCCCAGATCTCGCTGCGCTCCTGAGTGCACTTTGCAGTCCCACTGCTGGACCCAAAAAGAAGTATTTTCATGTCCATGTTCTTACTGACGAGCACAAGAGCTTTGCAGTATGAAATATAATTTTTTTTCTCTTCTGTATGGATCTGAGCATTGTGGGGGGTTTAGCAGCGAGGACCCCAGGGACCCGGCACAGCCCAACACGCTCTTGACGATCCCCTGAGGCTGCATCTCTGCTCAACAGCGAACAGCACACAGACTCCACGGCAAACCCAGTTCATGGCTCAGTTTGGCATCAGCGTGTGCTGCTGTACCCCAAGCAGCACCCCGGGTCTTGCAGGACACCCGGGGGCCCCTGCAGATGCTGCTGCTGCTCCATTTGTGAACTGGAGGGCAAGGATGGGCTCCAGGCACTGCCCTGCAAAACCCCTGCGGTCTGCAACGTCAGGCACGACGGTGAGTCCTGGCCAGGACACATCGCCTGCCCTCGCAGCCCGGCTGGGCTCTCCCAAACCAGCCCCCCTGGAGCTGTGGTCGGGGGGGTCAGACTCCCCCAAGCCCCCAGGGGACCAGGCAGCCCTGACCCCCATGTGGTTCTGGCGAGGACGATGCTGTCCATGCTGAACCTGCACCTTCACGGGCTTTAAATCCACGTGCGCATCCTTCCAGCTCCACCAGACCCTGAACACAGGGACCAGCCCTGGGAATACGCGTCCTGGTGCCCTGTGGATGCACAAACACCTGGGCTAAGCCAAAACAAGGACCAGTTCTCCCTGGGGAGGCCAATTTTCCAGTCCCTAGAGCCAACACACTGAACAGGCTCAAAACCACCCAGTGCGATGGGTGATGTGATGGATCCACGTGCACACACCCAGGGGCACCCACCAGCCCAGGGGCTTCGAGTCAAGAGTTTGCCCTGGAGAAGGCAGTGAGAGCCGGAATTTCAGCTCCAGCCTTATCCAAAACCTCTCTCCCCAGCCATCGCCCCATGACCTGCGCTTGGCTCCTCGCCCCTTGGCAGGGGGACCCCCCCAGCAAGCTCCGGAGGGGCTTGCTCTGTGTTCGGGCCAGATCCTGCCCCCACAGTCCTCCATCCCGTCCCAGCGCAGGGGCTGGGGGTCCGGAGCGTCGCCCACGCTCGGCGTACATTAGACGCAGCTGACTGGGTGCAGCTACCGGGGTAAGAGCCGCCGTCACTTTGATTTATGAGCACATCAGGAGGAGTTTCAGCGTGACACGCGGGACTGACAGGAGCAGTTCATTAAGCTGACACCGAGGTTA